TTGCTATATTTTTAACATATGCATCAATTTTAAAAGTTTTTTTATGTAAAAAATATGTGTTTTAAAAAGTACTTTAAAAATACAAAAAAAAATCCAAAAAAATTTTCCGCACGATATTACTATCAAATTTTTAGCTATTAAAGATAAAAAGTAATTTTTCTCAATTGACCGTAATGATCCAATTTTTTCAATATGTTTGTAAAAAAAAATTTATAATACATTTTTTATAACCTATTAATTTTTTGAATTGTCACTATGATTTTCGTAATCAGCGTACAAAAATACATAAATAAAGTTTAAATAGTAAAATAGATGTCGTCATGTCGGTAATGTCAATTACTTTAATTTTTTTTGATAAAAAAAATTAAATTTTCAGGTTCACGGATAAGATATCAGAAATTCTAAGAGTACACAGAGATATAATAACGAAACGAGAAAAAACAAACAATATTAAACAAATCGACTCACAATGGAAAATACAACAAATTGGCACTTTCTTTCTGTTTGTCACTACATAACTTATTTTGGTATTTTCTTTTACAACAATCACTTAATAACACTTGAAGAACGATATGAAACTGTTAGCATATTAAATAATTTCTTTGAATATCTCAATAATTCCAATAATAATGAATCGGAGTTGAAACTGAAATTTCTACAAAATGCATTGAAAGAAAGTAATTCTTATGGCGGAAGGGGCAAAAATTATTATAGAGTCGTGCCAATAATGTTCTGATATATTTCATTTACATGTTTTGCGTCAAGCAGTTTATAATAATTTTTGCCCCTTCCGCCATAAGAATTACTTTCTTTCAATGCATTTTGTAGAAATTTCAGTTTCAACTCCGATTCATTATTATTGGAATTATTGAGATATTCAAAGAAATTATTTAATATGCTAACAGTTTCATATCGTTCTTCAAGTGTTATTAAGTGATTGTTGTAAAAGAAAATACCAAAATAAGTTATGTAGTGACAAACAGAAAGAAAGTGCCAATTTGTTGTATTTTCCATTGTGAGTCGATTTGTTTAATATTGTTTGTTTTTTCTCGTTTCGTTATTATATCTCTGTGTACTCTTAGAATTTCTGATATCTTATCCGTGAACCTGAAAATTTAATTTTTTTTATCAAAAAAAATTAAAGTAATTGACATTACCGACATGACGACATCTATTTTACTATTTAAACTTTATTTATGTATTTTTGTACGCTGATTACGAAAATCATAGTGACAATTCAAAAAATTAATAGGTTATAAAAAATGTATTATAAATTTTTTTTTACAAACATATTGAAAAAATTGGATCATTACGGTCAATTGAGAAAAATTACTTTTTATCTTTAATAGCTAAAAATTTGATAGTAATATCGTGCGGAAAATTTTTTTGGATTTTTTTTTGTATTTTTAAAGTACTTTTTAAAACACATATTTTTTACATAAAAAAACTTTTAAAATTGATGCATATGTTAAAAATATAGCAATGAAATGTTGATACGTAAATATTTCATTGTTTGCGCCTTTATCAAAAAAAATATTTTTTATTTATTTTTTTTATGTTGTAGTCATTTTTGTTGATAATTTTCTTTTTAGATTTATTTCAATATTTATTTTTTTACATGTGTAATATTTTAATTTAATAAATTGTCAAATTTTGCAACCCTACAGTTTGAGAATGTAATTTTTTTTCTTTTTATAGAATTGAAAAGAATGACTAATTATTAATTTAATTTCTAATTATTATTTATTACAATTAAAAGAAAAACTTTTGTAATTGATGCATTTTACTGAATTTAGTTTTAGGGGTAGTTTTTTTATATTTAAAATAATTTACTATATATATATAATTAAGTATTTTACTCACAAGAAGTAAATAATAATCCCAAGTAGCTCTTAAAATAACAACTGAAACATCTGTAGAGAAGAGAAACGAAGCAATGAAAGCTAATCTAATACTTGAATTTTTCAATGTTTGCGACTTTATCCATAAAAAAATGTTATTATTTTTTTTATGTAGCAGTCATTTTTTTTTACTTATCGGAATTATTTTAAGGATTTAATTTTTTTACACGTGTCATTTTTTAATAAAATTTTTAAAAAAATTTAAAAAGTCGATATATATATAAAGTATTCATTTTAGGTAAATTTAAAGAATTAATGAAAGTTAAAAATCAAAAATTCACATTTTGTCAATAAAATTTTGCTTTCTCCACGAGAAAGCAAATTTTTTTGCTGATCGTAAAGAGGAAGCAAAATGTTCATGTAATGAACATCTGAATTTACAACTTGTTTTTCTAATTATACAATAATAAAATGCTTGGTCTGTCCTTCTGTCCTAACTTGAAGTTGGCCTTTTCTGATTTCACGTGTTTTTTTGAATAGTAATCTTATGACGTGTCAAACTTTGACAATTTTTTTTCTCATTTTTGCCAAAGTTGTATAATTGTGTTTCCAAATTTCAGAATAAGTTTCTTTAAAATTCCAAATTCGAAAATTGAATTCACGAAGCAGAAGTACACAACGTTTACCAACGAAATTTTTTTTAAAGATGTATATTGATTCAAAAATTGTATACAAATACAAAAAATTTATGATGAGAAAAAAGATGCGCCAGGAAATTTCGTACAAGATAGTAATTTGAAAAAAATTTATTTTTAAAAATTAATTTTTAAGGTACCAGGGGCCAACGAATACCTATTAAATATTAATTATAAAAACACAGGCCTCGAATCAACTTAAAGACACAAAAAAGTCGTTTTAGTCGATTTATATTCCAAAAAAAAGTGTATCTGTTTTTTATTTTAACAAAAATATTTTACAGATTTTTAAATAAAAACTTTTTTTTAATAATAATTCTTTTCGAAGGGTTAAAGTTGAAATTTTTAGAAATAATTAAATTTCAAAAGATAATGTTAATTTTCAAACAATTATTAAATTTTACAGAACTAAAAATAATTTATCAAACAATTTTTGAAAAACAAATTTTTTAAATTTAATTGAATTTTCAAAGCTTTAAAATTGAGATTTTTGAACTTAATTGAAACTTTAAGTGTTTTGTAATTGAAATTTTAGATGATTTCACTAAAAATTTATTAGAAAATGCGGACAAAATACAATAATTTGAAAATCATTTTTAATTAAAAAAAGGTTTCAGATAGTTGAATTTTCAAAGAATATTATTAAAATGGTTAAAAATAATTGAATTTCCTTAGAGTTATAATTGAAATTATTAAATTTCAAAAAAAAAATTTTCGATGGAAAATTTTAGAAATAATTAAATTTTAGATGCTTTTAAATTCAATTTATTGAAAATTCAATTAATTTTGAATTTAAATTTTTGAGAATAATGAAATTTTATTTGATATAAAATTTGGAAAATAATTTAATTTCAGTTCATTTTGAATTGAAAATTTTAAGAAATAATTGAATTGAAAATTTGGATAATTAATTTTGAATATAGAAATTTTAGAAAATAATTGAATTTTATTTCATTTTAAATTGAAAATTTTGGATAATTATTTTTTTAAAATTTTTTTTACGAGGGAAGTGGAAAATCTGCATAACCCTGGAGGCCTACTTCCAAGTCAGATACCTGTCGCCCGTATTCTCAGGTTATGTGGGGATGACCGCTCTTGTTCTGGTCGATCTACTAAAAATCACACCCTTTTTGAGACTTAAACTCCACTGGCGGAACTGCTATTAGCTTTATACATCGGCAGTGGAAGTCTCCTTACCGTTGCTCTCGGTCAAAAATCCTTAACTGAGTGCTAGCGCTAGAAGAAGGAGAGCCATTTAAGGTCTCCCCCGTCCCGCGCGTGCACCCAGCCGAGCAGCAAGATTTCTCCGTGTTAACCTCCTCCTGTCGTCCTCATTACAGTTGTAATGAAGGACTCTACCGGGTCTGGGCTAGAGACTCCTCCAATCTCTCTCTATTTAGTCTTCTGAGATTCCAGGAGGGCTTCTTGCTGCTTGTCGCTCATGGTCGTCTCATCCAGAACGCTCCACTCTCTTATTCTACGAGCCATGCGGGGCGACGCGATTGTCAAATCGATAATTGACCCTGATACCCCGCGCCTGAACGTGAACTCCTGACCCCGGCTCATCACCACTAGATCGTTCGCTGCAACCATATTCGCTTCCAAGGTTCCTCTCCTGTCTAGGCGGCTCTCTCCCCATTCCGGCGACTTGCTATGGAAGTCTCCCGCAATGAGGACATCACCGCCGAAAGCTCTAAGGCTTTCTTCAAGAGCTTGATCCTCGGCATCGAATTTTTTAAAGGGATCGTTTGGGGAGAAGTAGCAGCTGTATATACGTACACCTGCCACCTCTACCCAAACAAACCCCTTATCTGTCTCCAGGAGTCACCAATAGCGATGTCCGGGTTACACACTTGTATACCTGATCTTCCTGATGCATCCTCAAACCAGACAGAGAATCCCGGCTTCCTATACTGCTCACTGAAAAGCAGCACGTCAGCTCCTCTCTCTCTCTGGCAGTCTGCATCAAGAGATCTTACGCGACTCTTTCTTTCCTGAGGTTAACCTGGAGAAATCTTATCTCGGGACTTTAGGCCCTGGAGCAACTTCCAGTAAACTGGGCAAGCCCTGCTTCCTGGAAGGTGTTTCAAATCCTTCATTCCACTTTCGGAACACGTAATGCATTAGGCATCGCCTTTGCATTCCGTCTTCCGGTGGTTCGGACTGCCACACCTCCAGCAAGCAGCTTTCCTGTCAGGGCCAGTGCATCCTCCGGCCAGGTGGCTGAAGCAGAGGCATCTATAGCACCTCTCTACTTCCAACCAGGCACGAACTCTGCAGTTCTTTTTGTTCTTCAGCGATGGTGACGGGGAGCTTTACACTCTCCGTCTCCATCTTTTCTTCTTCACTTCTCTTTTTAAATTTTTTTAAAAATTTTATTAAAAAATGACACGTGTAAAAAAATTAAATCCTTAAAATAATTCCGATAAGTAAAAAAAAATGACTGCTACATAAAAAAAATAATAACATTTTTTTATGGATAAAGTCGCAAACATTGAAAAATTCAAGTATTAGATTAGCTTTCATTGCTTCGTTTCTCTTCTCTACAGATGTTTCAGTTGTTATTTTAAGAGCTACTTGGGATTATTATTTACTTCTTGTGAGTAAAATACTTAATTATATATATAGTAAATTATTTTAAATATAAAAAAACTACCCCTAAAACTAAATTCAGTAAAATGCATCAATTACAAAAGTTTTTCTTTTAATTGTAATTAATAATAATTAGAAATTAAATTAATAATTAGTAATTCTTTTCAATTCTATAAAAAGAAAAAAAATTACAGTGTCAAACTATAAGGTTGCAAAATTTGACAATTTAATAAATTAAAATATTACACATGTAAAAAAATAAATACTTGAAATAAATATAAAAAGGAAATTATCAACAAAAATGACTACAACATAAAAAAAATGAATAAAAAATATTTGTTTTGATAAAGTCGCAAACATTGAAAAATTCATGTACTAGATTAGCTTTCATTGCTTCGTTTCTCTTCTCTACAGAAGTTTGACTTGTTATTTTAAGAGCTACTTGGGATTATTATTTACTTCTTGTAAGTAAAATACTTAATTATATATATATAGTAAATCATTTTAAATATAAAAAGACTACCCCTAAAAGTAAATTCAGTAAAATGCATCAATTACAAAAGTTTTTTAAGTGTAATTAATAATAATTAGAAATTAAATTAATAATTAGTCATTCTTTTCAATTCTATAAAAAGAAAAAAAATTACATTCTCAAACTGTAGGGTTGCAAAATTTGACAATTTATTAAATTAAAATATTACACATGTAAAAAAATAAATATTGAAATAAATCTGAAAAGAAAATTATCAACAAAAATGACTACAACATAAAAAAAATAAATAAAAAATATTTTTTTTGATAAAGGCGCAAACAATGAAATATTTACGTATCAACATTTCATTGCTATATTTTTAACATATGCATCAATTTTAAAAGTTTTTTTATGTAAAGAATATGTGTTTTAAAAAGTACTTTAAAAATAAAAAAAATATCCAAAAAACTTTTCCGCACGATATTACTATAAAATTTTTAGCTATTAAAAATAAAAAGTAATTTTTCTCAATTGACCGTAATGATCCAATTTTTTCAATATGTTTGTAAAAAAAAATTTATAATACATTTTTTATAACCTATTAATTTTTTGAATTGTCACTATGATTTTCGTAATCAGCGTACAAAAATACATAAATAAAGTTTAAATAGTAAAATAGATGTCGTCATGTCGGTAATGTCAATTACTTTAATTTTTTTTGATAAAAAAAATTAAATTTTCAGGTTCACGGATAAGATATCAGAAATTCTAAGAGTACACAGAGATATAATAACGAAACGAGAAAAAACAAACAATATTAAACAAATCGACTCACAATGGAAAATACAACAAATTTGCTCTTTCTTTCTGTTTGTCACTACATAACTTATTTTGGTATTTTCTTTTACAACAATCACTTAATAACACTTGAAGAACGATATCAAACTGTTAGCATATTAAATAATTTCTTTGAATATCTCAATAATTCCAATAATAATGAATCGGAGTTGAAACTGAAATTTCTACAAAATGCATTGAAAGAAAGTAATTCTTATGGCGGAAGGGGCAAAAATTATTATAAACTGCTTGACGCAAAACACGTAAATGAAATATATCAGAACATTATTGGCACGACTCTATTTTTTCACTATGGCAATGTTAATGGATATTTAGCTCAATTAAAAAATGGAAATGATAAGAACATAACAATATTTAAAGAAAATGTGTATCAACATCTGTTGCATAATTACACGAGTAGGGATTATTGTTTTTCATCATTGAGAAATCAAAGTATTAAACTTACTTTACTTGCAATTAAAAAAATTTTTAAACACAACATTTTGCCACTGTTTTCTCATCTAGAGGAAAATGTGAATTTGGATTATAAAAGAAAAAAGCGCGAAACATCAGATGATGATGATAATGATGATGATCATATTGAGGAAATTCCAAAAAAGATTCCTAAATTATCTCATGAACCACAGATAATGCTTACACAAGAGGGAAGTGAAATGCATAAAGAAATGTTAGATCTTCTGCGTGATTTTAAGATAGAGGGAATTTCTTTTAGTATGAGAAACAGTTATTTCAAACAGAAATTATATGATTTAGCTGTAATTCAAAGTAAATCTCATAAAGACCCAATCGGTGATTTATGGTGTGTTCAAACTACAAATTCAGAAACAATTGCTAATTTTTTGTTCGGTTTAAAAAGAAAATTGTTCCATTTTAATGATGTAACTCTTTTGCAAAGAGAAATTCCAACATCATCATTATCATCATCATCAGTTGACAATAATAACGAATTGGAGCAATTTTCCTCTTCGAAAACAATAGAAATTCGTTATCATTTAAAAATTGATAAAAACAGTGGTATTATAGATTTATATTCATTTTCTCAGTCTAACGAATTCCAAGACGAGTATATTACATTTAATGATAGACAATTTTGTGTAAAAAATACTTTCTTTACTAATCATAGGAAAATTTTAAATATTGAATTAATAAATTTTGGTCAATGGCCAAAATCAATGAAAACCGAAATTACTTATCTCGACAATTCTAATAGTATTGTGAATAATGAAAGAATGGAAAGAGTGAAAACAGTTGCAAATTTTTTCACACAAAATATACCATTGTTTACGATAATGAAAGCAGAAGACTTTCTGATGAATTTCATTTTAAGAATTAATACCATGGGTGATGTGCCAAGTTATGATCAGTTTGCGAAGGATTATTATGATAACTTAGAGATTTTGCCTTCTTATAAAAATTTCGAAATAGAAAATAAGTTTCACATTAAGGATGTAATATTTTATGATAAATTAGATTACATTTATACATTGGAGGAAGCAAACAAAAAAATTAAATATTTATATGGTTCTCATTATATACTGAATGTCAAGGAGATATTTGAAAATTATAAATTATTATCCCTTCATTGGACTCTGCGATTTGAAGATTATTATACATTGTATTTTGTGATTAAAATAAAGGCACAATTACTCATTCATTTTTTCAGATATGAAGCTGCAGTTTATAGATTAGGTCTTCGACAATGTTCTAAAAGTGAGGCGCAAAATCCAATTAGACTTTATAAACTTTATATATTGGAGCAGAAAGATTTAGAATATTTTGAGTCAGTAAAAAATAAAAATAGTTATTTTAAATTAAAATCGCTTCCAAAGTTTTACATAAATTTTTTTGTTGCTATAACACAAGATACGAATTTGGCATTAGATAATTCTGAAAAAAAGCGAGTTATTTTAGAAATTACATTAAAAAATCAAGCGGCTATTGTGAATATCAATTTTGGTGGTTTATATTCTACAAATCCATTTTATATTGTAACATCTTGCCTATTCCTTAAGGTTGCGGATATACATAAAGGAACAACTGTTACTGGAGAAGAAGAATGGTTTATAAAATTGCATGACAATGATATGTCAGAAGAAAAGAGAATGGTTTGTATGGCGAAAAAACTTGTGGAATTATTTTCAAATGATGTATAATATTTTTCAGATTAATAAGTGCAATAATTGAAATTGAATAATTATTATATTTACTGTTATATTCTAATGTAAAAAAATTATTTTAAAGAAATATATAAAAATATTATAATACAGTTAAACATTGTTAAAATATATTTGAAGCACACATCTATACACAAATTCCAATGTCTGATGAGCTGTGTCCGCAGCTAAAATGCATTTGACATTGAAATAAATTAATAAATTAATTAATTTCTACAGTAAAATTGACTTGAAAATACTTCTTATTTAAAATTAATAATAAACCTTATAAACTATATAGAATTTACATTAGATTTTAATTTCTTCGGTTTTTTCCTTATTCTACGTTCAAATCCAATTAGTGACTTAATACGTAAGTATTCTCGTAAATTTGATCTAAAAGATTTTTTATACCAATAAGTTTCCGTCTGATAGAGGCTCAACTATATGTTACAAAAATTTTAATTCTCAATTGAAAAAAATTAATAAAATAGACAATATATAATAATTAAAAAAAAATTGTTTCAAAAAAAATAAAACAAGATAAATTGCTAAAAAAAGAATTGATTTTTTGCTTCCTGGTGGAGGAAGCTTTGTAATCCTTTCGTTTATAAAACTTTTCAAAGTGGCGGAAACAAATTTTTTTCTTTATAGAAACATGTTATATGAGATCCTGATCAATTGTCCGGATGTATGTATGTGTGTGTGTGTGTGGATCCCTTTTTTGTTTAGCAGATAACTTTAACAGGTTTTAATGGATTTAGATAAAATTTAGTAGGCTCATTTATCATATTAATATCTCAAATCTGACTAAAGGATTTTGAAAAATTCCTAAAAAAAAAAAATTTTATGGTCTTTTTTCCAAAAATTTTTTTGAATCGAAAAAATTTTTAAATAGAAAAATTTAAGGTTATATATAATAAAATCGTATTCTTTACGTCAAGACGAATCGGTCGATATATATATATAAAGTATTCATTTTAGGTAAATTTAAAGAATTAATGAAAGTTAAAAATCAAAAATTCACATTTTGTCAATAAAATTTTGCTTTCTCCACGAGAAAGCAAATTTTTTTGCTGATCGTAAAGAGGAAGCAAAATGTTCATGTAATGAACATCTGAATTTACAACTTGTTTTTCTAATTATACAATAATAAAATGCTTGGTCTGTCCTTCTGTCCTAACTTGAAGTTGGCCTTTTCTGATTTCACGTGTTTTTTTGAATAGTAATCTTATGACGTGTCAAACTTTGACAATTTTTTTTCTCATTTTTGCCAAAGTTGTATAATTGTGTTTCCAAATTTCAGAATAAGTTTCTTTAAAATTCCAAATTCGAAAATTGAATTCACGAAGCAGAAGTACACAACGTTTACCAACGAAATTTTTTTTAAAGATGTATATTGATTCAAAAATTGTATACAAATACAAAAAATTTATGATGAGAAAAAAGATGCGCCAGGAAATTTCGTACAAGATAGTAATTTGAAAAAAATTTATTTTTAAAAATTAATTTTTAAGGTACCAGGGGCCAACGAATACCTATTAAATATTAATTATAAAAACACAGGCCTCGAATCAACTTAAAGACACAAAAAAGTCGTTTTAGTCGATTTATATTCCAAAAAAAAGTGTATCTGTTTTTTATTTTAACAAAAATATTTTACAGATTTTTAAATAAAAACTTTTTTTTAATAATAATTCTTTTCGAAGGGTTAAAGTTGAAATTTTTAGAAATAATTAAATTTCAAAAGATATTGTTAATTTTCAAACAATTATTAAATTTTACAGAACTAAAAATAATTTATCAAACAATTTTTGAAAAACAAATTTTTTAAATTTAATTGAATTTTCAAAGCTTTAAAATTGAGATTTTTGAAATTAATTGAAACTTTAAGTGTTTTGTAATTGAAATTGTAGATGATTTCACTAAAAATTTATTAGAAAATGCGGACAAAATACAATAATTTGAAAATCATTTTTAATTAAAAAATGGTTTCAGATAGTTGAATTTTCAAAGAATATTATTAAAATGGTTAAAAATAATTGAATTTCCTTAGAGTTATAATTGAAATTATTAAATTTCAAAAAAAAAATTTTCGATGGAAAATTTTAGAAATAATTAAATTTTAGATGCTTTTAAATTCAATTTATTGAAAATTCAATTAATTTTGAATTCAAATTTTTGAGAATAATGAAATTTTATTTGATTTAAAATTTGGAAAATAATTTAATTTCAGTTCATTTTGAATTGAAAATTTTGGGAAATAATTGAATTTTAATTGAAATTTTGGATAATAATTTAATTTAAGTTCATTTTTGATTGAAAATTTGGATAATTAATTTTGAATATAGAAATTTTAGAAAATAATTGAATTTTATTTCATTTTAAATTGAAAATTTTTGATAATTATTTTTTTAATTTTTTTTTACGAGGGAAGTGGAAAATCTGCATAACCCTGGAGGCCTACTTCCAAGTCAGATACCTGTCGCCCGTATTCTCAGGTTATGTGGGGATGACCGCTCTTGTTCTGGTCGATCTACTAAAAATCACACCCTTTTTGAGACTTAAACTCCACTGGCGGAACTGCTATTAGCTTTATACATCGGCAGTGGAAGTCTCCTTACCGTTGCTCTCGGTCCTAAATCCTTAACTGAGTGCTAGCGCTAGAAGAAGGAGAGCCATTTAAGGTCTCCCCCGTCCCGCGCGTGCACCCAGCCGAGCAGCAGGATTTCTCCGTGTTAACCTCCTCCTGTCGTCCTCATTACAGTTGTAATGAAGGACTCGACCGGGTCTGGGCTAGAGACTCCTCCAATCTCTCTCTATTTAGTCTTCTGAGATTCCAGGAGGGCTTCTTGCTGCAACCTTGCAGTCTATTGTTCCCTCCCAGATTTTTCTAAGAGACTATAAACTTAATGTACTGGTGGTCGCTCATGGTCGTCTCATCCAGAACGCTCCACTCTCTTATTCTACGAGCCACGCGGGGCGACGCGATTGTCAAATCGATAATTGACCCTGATACCCCGCGCCTGAACGTGAACTCCTGATCCCGGCTCATCACCACTAGATCGTTCGCTGCAACCATATTCGCTTCCAAGGTTCCTCTCCTGTCTAGGCGGCTCTCTCCCCATTCCGGTGACTTGCTATGGAAGTCTCCCGCAATGAGGACATCACCGCCGAAAGCTCTAAGGCTTTCTTCAAGAGCTTGATCCTCGGCATCGAATTTTTTAAAGCGATCGTTTGGGGAGAAGTAGCAGCTGTATATACGTACACCTGCCACCTCTACCCAAACAAACCCCTTATCTGTCTCCAGGAGTCACCAATAGCGATGTCCGGGTTACACACTTGTATACCTGATCTTCCTGATGCATCCTCAAACCAGACAGAGAATCCCGGCTTCCTATATTGCTCACTGAAAAGCAGCACGTCAGCTCCTCTCTCTCTCTGGCAGTCTGCATCAAGAGATCTTACGCGACTCTTTCTTTCCTGAGGTTAACCTGGAGAAATCTTATCTCGGGACTTTAGGCCCCGGAGCAACTTCCAGTAAACTGGGCAAGCCCTGCTTCCTGGAAGGTGTTTCAAATCCTTCATTCCACTTTCGGAACACGTAATGCATTAGGCATCGCCTTTGCATTCCGTCTTCCGGTGGTTCGGACTGCCACACCTCCAGCAAGCAGCTTTCCTGTCAGGGCCAGTGCATCCTCCGGCCAGGTGGCTGAAGCAGAGGCATCTATAGCACCTCTCTACTTCCAACCAGGCACGAACTCTGCAGTTCTTTTTGTTCTTCAGCGATGGTGACGGGGAGCTCTACACTCTCCGTCTACATCTTTTCTTCTTCACTTTTCTTTTTAAATTTTTTTAAAAATTTTATTAAAAAATGACACGTGTAAAAAAATTAAATCCTTAAAATAATTCCGATAAGTAAAAAAAATGACTGCTACATAAAAAAAATAATAACATTTTTTTATGGATAAAGTCGCAAACATTGAAAAATTCAAGTATTAGATTAGCTTTCATTGCTTCGTTTCTCTTCTCTACAGATGTTTCAGTTGTTATTTTAAGAGCTACTTGGGATTATTATTTACTTCTTGTGAGTAAAATACTTAATTATATATATATAGTAAATTATTTTAAATATAAAAAAACTACCCCTAAAACTAAATTCAGTAAAATGCATCAATTACAAAAGTTTTTCTTTTAATTGTAATTAATAATAATTAGAAATTAAATTAATAATTAGTAATTCTTTTCAATTCTATAAAAAGAAAAAAAATTACAGTGTCAAACTATAAGGTTGCAAAATTTGACAATTTAATAAATTAAAATATTACACATGTAAAAAAATAAATACTTGAAATAAATATAAAAAGGAAATTATCAACAAAAATGACTACAACATAAAAAAAATGAATAAAAAATATTTGTTTTGATAAAGTCGCAAACATTGAAAAATTCATGTACTAGATTAGCTTTCATTGCTTCGTTTCTCTTCTCTACAGAAGTTTGACTTGTTATTTTAAGAGCTACTTGGGATTATTATTTACTTCTTGTAAGTAAAATACTTAATTATATATATATAGTAAATCATTTTAAATATAAAAAGACTACCCCTAAAAGTAAATTCAGTAAAATGCATCAATTACAAAAGTTTTTTAAGTGTAATTAATAATAATTAGAAATTAAATTAATAATTAGTCATTCTTTTCAATTCTATAAAAAGAAAAAAAATTACATTCTCAAACTGTAGGGTTGCAAAATTTGACAATTTATTAAATTAAAATATTACACATGTAAAAAAATAAATATTGAAATAAATCTGAAAAGAAAATTATCAACAAAAATGACTACAACATAAAAAAAAATAAATAAAAAATATTTTTTTTGATAAAGGCGCAAACAATGAAATATTTACGTATCAACATTTCATTGCTATATTTTTAACATATGCATCAATTTTAAAAGTTTTTTTATGTAAAGAATATGTGTTTTAAAAAGTACTTTAAAAATAAAAAAAAAATCCAAAAAACTTTTCCGCACGATATTACTATAAAATTTTTAGCTATTAAAAATAAAAAGTAATTTTTCTCAATTGACCGTAATGATCCAATTTTTTCAATATGTTTGTAAAAAAAAATTTATAATACATTTTTTATAACCTATTAATTTTTTGAATTGTCACTATGATTTTCGTAATCAGCGTACAAAAATACATAAATAAAGTTTAAATAGTAAAATAGATGTCGTCATGTCGGTAATGTCAATTACTTTAATTTTTTTTGATAAAAAAAATTAAATTTTCAGGTTCACGGATAAGATATCAGAAATTCTAAGAGTACACAGAGATATAATAACGAAACGAGAAAAAACAAACAATATTAAACAAATCGACTCACAATGGAAAATACAACAAATTTGCTCTTTCTTTCTGTTTGTCACTACATAACTTATTTTGGTATTTTCTTTTACAACAATCACTTAATAACACTTGAAGAACGATATCAAACTGTTAGCATATTAAATAATTTCTTTGAATATCTCAATAATTCCAATAATAATGAATCGGAGTTGAAACTGAAATTTCTACAAAATGCATTGAAAGAAAGTAATTCTTATGGCGGAAGGGGCAAAAATTATTATAAACTGCTTGACGCAAAACACGTAAATGAAATATATCAGAACATTATTGGCACGACTCTATTTTTTCACTATGGCAATGTTAATGGATATTTAGCTCAATTAAAAAATGGAAATGATAAGAACATAACAATATTTAAAGAAAATGTGTATCAACATCTGTTGCATAATTACACGAGTAGGGATTATTGTTTTTCATCATTGAGAAATCAAAGTATTAAACTTACTTTACTTGCAATTAAAAAAATTTTTCAACACAACATTTTGCCACTGTTTTCTCATCTAGAGGAAAATGTGAATTTGGATTATAAAAGAAAAAAGCGCGAAACATCAGATGATGATGATAATGATGATGATCATATTGAGGAAATTCCAAAAAATATTCCTAAATTATCTCATGAACCACAGATAATGCTTACACAAGAGGGAAGTGAAATGCATATAGAAATGTTAGATCTTCTGCGTGATTTTAAGATAGTGGGAATTTCTATTAGTATGAGAAACAGTTATTTCAAACAGAAATTATATGATTTAGCTGTAATTCAAAGTAAATCTCATAAAGACCCAATCGGTGATTTATGGTGTGTTCAAACTACAAATTCAGAAACAATTGCTAATTTTTTGTTCGGTTTAAAAGGAAAATTGTTCCATTTTAATGATGTAACTCTTTTGCAAAGAGAAATTCCAACATCATCATTATCATCATCATCATCATCAGTTGACAATAATAACGAATTGGAGCAATTTTCTTCATCGAAAACAATAGAAATTCGTTATCATTTAAAAATTGATAAAAACAGTGGTATTATAGATTTATATTCATTTTCTCAGTCTAACGAATTCCAAGACGAGTATATTACATTTAATGACAGACAATTTTTTGTAAAAAATACTTTCTTTACTAATCATAGAAAAATTTTAAATATTGAATTAATAAATTTTGGTCAATGGCCAAAATCAATGGAAGCCGAAATTACTTACCTCGACAATTCTAAAAGTATTTTGATTAATGAAAGAATGGAAAAAGTGAAAACAGTTGCAAATTTTTTCACACAAAATATACCATTGTTTACGATAATGAAAGCAGACGACTTTCTGATGAATTTCATTTTAAGAATTAATACCATGGGTGATGTGCCAAGTTATGATCAGTTTGCGAAGGATTATTATGATAACTTAGAGATTTTGCCTTCTTATAAAAATTTCGAAATAAAAAAAAATAAGTTTCACATTAAGGATGTAATATTTTATGATGATATAGATTACATTTATACATTGGAGGAAGCAAACAAAAAAATTAAAGATTTATATGGTTCTCATCATATACCGAATGTCAAGGAGATATTTAAAAATTATAAATTATTATCCCTTCATTGGACTCTGCGATTTGAAGATTATTATACATTGTATTCTATGATTAAAACACAGTCACAATTACTTCATCATTTTGTCAGATTTGAAGCTGCAGTTTATGGACTGGGTCTTCGACAATGTTCTAAAAGTGAGACTCACAATCCAATTATACTTTATAGACTTGATATATTGGAGGAGAAAGATTTAGAATATTTTGAGTCAGTAAAAAATAAAAATAATTATTTTAAATTAATATCGCTTCCAAAGTTTTATGAAAATTTTTTTGTTGCTTTAACACAAGATACGAATTTGGCATTAGATAATTCTGAAAAAAAGCGAGTTATTTTTGAAATTACATTAAAAAATCAAGCGGCTATTGTGAATATTAATTTTGGTGATTTATATTCTACAAATCCATTTTATATTGTAACATCTTGCCTATTCCTTAAGGTTGCGGATATACATAAAGGAACAACTGTTACTGGAGAAGAAGAATGGTTTATAAAATTGCATGACTATGATATATCAGAAGAAAAGAGAATGGTTTGTATGGCGAAAAAACTTGAGAAATTATTTTCAAATGATGTAAAATATTTTTCAAATTATTAAGTGCAATAATTGAAATTGAATAATTATTATATTTACTGTTATATTCTAATGTTTAAAATTATTTCAAAGAAAAATTTAAAAATATTATAATACAGTTAAACATTGTTAAAATATATTTGAAGCACACATCTATACACAAATTCCAATGTCTGATGAGCTGTGTTCGCAGCTAAAATACAATTTAACATTGAAATAAATTAATAAATTAATTAATTTCTACATTAAAATTGACTTAAAAATATTTCTTATTAAAATTAATAATAAACCTTATAAACTATATAGAATTTACATTAGATTTTAATTTCTTCGTTTTTTTCCTTATTCTACGTTCAAATCCAATTAGTGACTTAATACGTAAGTATTCTCGTAAGTTTGATCTAAAAGATTTTCTATACCAATAAGGTTTCGTCTGATAGAGGCTCAACTATATGTTACAAAAATTTTAATTCCCATTTAAAAAAAAATTAATAAAATAGACAATATATAATAATAAAAAAAAAATTGTGTCAAAAAAAATAAAACAAGATAAATTGCTAAAAAAAGAATTAATTTTTTTCTTTAATAATAGATATAAACTTAAGAAAAATCTTACAAATTTCTATTTTTATAGAATGAACCATTTTTTCTTATTAAATTAAATCATAAATTATTTTATCAGCTGTAATAGAAAATCATATTCAGCATTAGGGTCAGTCGGGGTAAATCTGAACGCTAATTATTTCAGCTTAATTAAAATTTTTAAAAATAAGTTCGATATGAGAATTTTTACCTCAGATCCTCTTGAAGAGATTCTAAGTATTATCCCATTTTTTGTTTGTTAATTAGCAACAGCATAAACAAAGATAATAAGTATTGCAAAAAAGATTGAAAATCAAAGATGACACTCTTTCAGTATTTTGTCTCCTATTTGAAGAAAAAGAAGCTAAAAATTCATTTTATTATTTATAATTGTTTGTTATGAATACTAGAACAGAAACTATTTTCGATTTTTGCCTTCTGTAAAATTTTATTAATAATATCAGACCGTTCGTATTTACCCAAGAAAATTGGAAAACTGGGGTAAATCCGAACGGTATTTTTAATAATTTTTTTTTACATCAAAGCCACACAAAATTGTTTTTATTTGATTACACTATTATTTTAACATTATAAAAGTACATAGAAAAAAGTTTTTCTTTCTATACGTATCCTCGTTAGTAATTAATAAGCAGAAACTTAATCTCTGTTCTCTCGAACGAGTGTTTCAATTTTTTTGCCAAATGGTTTGTTGAAAAAAGTTTTTCAGGATCTTAATAAAATTTGGTATTCTACGGTTTTTGGGGTCGCTAATTACCAATTTGAAGTCAGTTTTTCAAAATTCAAAATGGCGGACGAGAATTAAAAAATTCATTGGATTCGCTCGAAAATTGTTACTCGGGGTGTTTCAGGGTTAGCAAATTTGATCAGTTTTAAAAATAAGTTTTAGGAAAGTCCGCCATTTTGAATTTAAAAAATTTGACTTTTATTTTTGTATTTACATTCAATCACTCCAAAATACTTTCTGTAGCAAGTTTTGCAAAAATCCGTTATGATTTGATAAAGTTATTGAAGGTTTTAATTGTGTAATGCATTTTAATTTTTAACCTGTTTGATTTTTGTATTTATATATGATGCATTATTACATAATAGGTTTATTATCGTATTTTTTTTGAGTTTTTATATAAGTTTAACAATTGCAATACTTTAAATTTATTTTCCCTAAGATTTTTCTGAAATACAGTGGCGTTCGTATTTACCCCCATATTTTAGGAAAGTTGCAAAGTATCGAGGTAAATACGAACGCTAAGTTTCCTGCGATTGTAATTTATCAAAAATTTTTTCTACCCCATAAAATTGTTCTATGGAAGTAAAGTAACAACTTCATGCACCAGAATACCGGAAGTATTTTTTTTTTAAAGAAAAAACTTATGTTATTGTTGAAACTTACTAAAAGCGTTCGGATTTACCCCGGTTGACCCTATATATTATAATTAATCAAATTTTAACATTTTTTTTTCTTTTGTCACACTATATTTCGTCTTTTACATATATAGTATTAACATTTACGAACATTTTTCTTTTATCTTGATTTTAACACTATTTTTCTAACTAGAGTTTCGCATGAGAAAAGTAATTTTTATGGAAATGGATTTTTCTAATAAAGACCTTCTTTTTTATATGAGAATAAAAAAAACCGTATATATCTAAATATACACTTTTCTTGTTCTTGAACTTTGATATTATTAATCAAATGTGTAATAAAAAAATATTCAAATTACATTAAAGTAGTTAAAAATAAATTATTTTCTTCAAATTAAATATTCAATAGAAAATGTTAAAAAGAAAAGAATATAGAAAATAAACATAAGTTATGAAATTAATAACTCATTACAAAATATATATATATATATATACGCATATTGATTAATTATTTATTAATGAATTCATAAATCGTCAGGTTTAAATATAAAAATTGTTTTTGGACATAAATAATATTTTTTTTTATAAACTTTTTATTTCACATTTAAAAAAAAAATTAATAAATAATTCACAAGTAATTTGATAAATATTATTAAAAGAAAATTGTAGGGGAAAAAAGGGATGAGGAGGGGGGGGGTTGAGAAATATCTCACAAAAACGAGATAAGTTGTCGGCGTAGTTAAATTGGAATTTTTATAGCTTCGTGTGCTTTTTTTCTTCTTCGTATTTTTATTAAAGTTAAGAACTGAGGCATTGTCCTCATTTTTAAAAGAGGGAGTTTGGCGAAAGTTGTTTTGCCCGCGCTAAGAGAGGTCTGGATGAATATAAAGTTTGCACACTGAATGTCGTCTCGCGTCACGGATGAAACTTGCCAGAAATTTTCATTTAATAGTCTGTACAAGCTACTTAAAAAAAAATGTTTTTTTTTTTATTTCCACTTCTAGATTCGCGAATTTATTAACTATTTTTTTACTCTTATTAAATAATTTTCACAACTTTCTTTTTCAAGTACAAAAGTAGAAGGAAAAACAAAAGTTTTAATATCAAACTAAAATTGTTTAAAAATTTTAAATTAGTTTTCTTTATTAATTAAAAAATTGAAATAAAAATTTGTATTTTTCATTAAATTTTTATTTATTTTAAATATAATAATTTACGTAATTGAATAAATATTGAGTTTTTAAACTATTTTTTGAAAAATTAGAATTTAATTAAAGAGAAGATAATTTTTTTTTTTTATAAAAGCAAGGTAAAGAAGATTTCTATTCAATGAAAAGTTTCCGGATATTTTCTGTAGATGGCGAGAGTTAACACTGTCTGCCCAAACCTCATTTTTACTACTGAATTTCTATCTTCTCTATGTATATGTATATTATGACAAAATTGTAATCGATTGAGTGTAAAAGAAAAATATAACGAATGTCATTACAAGAAAATTTCTTAAATTGGAAAAAATTATTATTGATTTTTATTATCTGCGAAATATTTCATAAAATTTTTAATTTATATAATTGAAAAAAAGGGAAAAATATTAAAAATTGTAATCAAAATGAAAATATCATAAAACATAACCTTCATCGACCTTCAGCCAATTTTTGGAAGTATTTCATACTAGATAATGAATAATTTTTTACTATAATGCAATGTTTATTATAACCTGCAGAATGTAAATTGAAAACTACAAAGATCCAATGTTTGGAAGTATTTCATATTCGATCATGAATAATAATTTTTTGTGCCAAAATATTTGGGAATTTGAAAACTACAAATATTCAATTTTTAATAATAATAATTTTTTATTTGCTACTGAATTGGAGAAAAATTAAAAGTTTAATATTTTATTTTTGCCAAATAAAATTTGTAATTGAAATAATATATTTCTTTCTTTGAGATGCAAATATCTTTTTATTTAATAAAACAAATTTACAATCATATTAAATAAAACAATACAAATTGACATAAAATTTTTTAATAAAACTTCTTTATTCATTCATTTGTATTTAGAGAAAAGCTAATAAAAAATTATATTATAAAATTGAATTATAAAAATACATTTCTATATAATGAATAAAACAAAAAGTTTATTTATTCACAATAAATAAGAGGGAGAAAAAAATTTATATATAATTTCAGGTCACCAAAAAATATACATGTATAGGAAGTTTTATTCTTATATATATATATATATATATATATTCGCGTATTAAAATAATGAAGCAGGTCAAGTGGACGCGAAAAATTGAGAAGAATTTTAAATGAAGAAACGTGATACAAATAGGGCGAGGGGGTTGAAAAAAGAAGAAAAAGAAATAAGTAAAATCAAATTAAGACAGGACAAACCCGATGAACAAATATTGAAAAGCTTTCCAAATAATTACTTCGCATCAAGCGCGCAAAATCGATTCATTTGTCATTCCAGTCGTAATTGAAAAACTCTCTCTCTCTCTCTCTCTCTCTCTCTCATCGAAATTAGACTCTTTCGACGTTTTAAAAATTTTCAACTGATTTCTATATAAACAATAAAAATTAAATCTAGAATTAATTTTTAAAAGTTCAATTGAAATTATTAATTACAAATAAAGTGAATAACGGATGTTTAACAAATACAGTGAAAAAAAAAGATCTTCAGCCAATTTTTGGAAATGTTTCATACTAGATAATGAATAATTTTTTATTACCTGCAATTTTTTGTACCTGCAGAACAAAAGTTGTAAACTTTTTTCCAAAGAAGTTTGGAAGTATTTTCATATTAGATTTTAAATAATTTTTTGTCCCGAAATATTTAATGTAGATTTCCATTTTACTTACACTTTAATTCCTCAAACTTATAATTATAACTTAAAAAATGATGATTAATCACAAATTTAAAAATTACAAAAATTAAATTAATTATTTAAATGTAATTTATGAATTAGTAATTAAAATTAGTTATTAAAAAGTGTAAAATTTATTCATGTACAATTCAAAATTATTCCCTTTTTAATTTAATTTTTTTTTGTAGATTTTGCTTTTACCCCAATTTTTGCAGACTTAAATTTGTTTTTGAATATAAGAAAGGAAAAAGTCAAAAATCGTCCTTGGTCGGTATTGTGTGTATACAGGTATTCAAATACTGAAAATTTTTGCACATATAGCAAATGTGAATTTCGTTGTATTTGTATATATATATATATATATATATATATATATATGTATGTATATGCACAATGCATCCAGGAATATATTATTT